TCCTCTTCTTTCATTTGGGTTATATTTCTTTGTCTCTCCATTTTGACTGCCTTTTTGTTTCTATGTAATAGGTAGATCTGATCTGACTCCCAGCCTTTGTGTGGTAGCCTTATGTGGTGTCATTTGAGGTCCAGTGGTGCAGTCTCCTTGATCTCCTGAGCTGGGTGCTCCAGGAATGTGCCTTGTGTGGATTATTTGGGCCCTCCTATTGTGATTGAGTCTCATTGCTATTGACCCATTCATGTGTCAAATTGACCTTCATGCTGACTGTGGCTCTCAACCCCAATCACAGCATCCATGCTGCTGTGTAGGTGCTGACCACACAAAGCGGAATTCAGCTCTGCAGTTTTTGGTGCTTGTCAAGATCTCCAATTGGATATACAGCTTGTGAAGCTTACTGGATACTGTTCTGATGTTGTCTGAAGCTGGCCAGTAGTGTGTGGATTCTGGCCCTTGGGGGGAACTCTGGTGCCTGCCACAGTCAGATGCTGTCTGTGACAGGCCCCCAGCAACTTGTTTGGAGCTACAAGTTTTCCAGTTTGTGGTGGCCTCTGCTGGGCCTGGGTGCTCTCAGAAAGGACCAAGCTGTGCACCGAGACTGTTTTTTTACTAGCACTGGACCCAGGGTCAGGTCAGCAAAAATCCCAAGGTCCCCCGATATCTGCCTTTGCCTGCCAGCTGTCTGTTAGTCTCAGTCACTGAAAGAGCCTCTGGTGGTACTTGAGTTGCCTGAGGTATTTCACAGTGAGTCGCCAGGTAGGGGTGAGTAGTGTTCACCAGACTGAAAGAGATTCAAATTCAGTTTCAGTTCTGGACTAAGGCCACTCAGCAAATGTCCCAGGTATACCAAGTCTAGCTGCCACCTGCTGGATGCTCTCACACCTTTGTGTTGGGGTGGGGTCTCAGGGAGTCATCAGAGTGAGGCTAGCAGTTTTCAGGCCCCAAAAGACCAAGATTTGGTGATGTGAAGGCAGGGCTCTGCTCTGGTTGGGCTTGCAAGGGAATAAAGGTCCTTGTCTTAGAGACGCTCTACTCAGTCTGTCTCAGATTCTGCCGAGAGGAGCTCAAGCTCAGCAGTGTGGGGCCTCCAGGAGTTGGGAGGATGAGCCTAGTGAATCTCCCATGAAGGGGAGGTGCTGGTCAGGCTTCAGAGAAAGTGGGGGTTGTGTTCCTCACCAGAGACCCATACAACTCAGTCTGTCCCAGATTTTGCCCAGCCATCAGCAGGGTGGAGCCACCAGAAGTTGGGTAAATGGGTCTGCTAGGAGCCCAGAGGGTGGGTCTATCAGATCACCCATGAGGAGAAATGCTAGTCAGGTTCACAGGAAAGTGGAGGAAATGGCTCCTGTCCCAATACCACACAACTCAGCACTGATACCCCTTGAGTTTGCCCAAACCTCTACACCTCATCCAAGGCAGCTGACTCCTCAGTAGAGCATAAGATCTGTAGGGTGGGGTGAGAGTGAGTCCAGAGGGTGGAGCTATTGCTTTCCCCCAGGCTGATGGCCTTTGTAGGGGAGTGTTCCACCCAAGAAAGATGGCATCTATGATAAGGGAGAGGGACTCAGCACAAGGGTCCTGGCAGCTGTCCCTTCAGCTCTCTCCCCAGAGCCACAAACCCCAGTCTCTGCCCATACAACTCTAGTCAATTCTGCCCTTCCTCTGCTGGAGCCCAGGGTGAGTGAAAAAATTTTGTATGTTGGCCCTTTAAGAGATTGCCTGTGTCTTTAGTGGACTCTTGTCTCTCCCTGGTGGACAGAAACCCTGCTGATTTTTACAGCCAAATGTTATGTGGGTGCTTCTTTCTGGCTCTGGTGCTCTGGGCTGGGGAGCCCACCTTGGGTTTGAGACCCCACACCTCTCAGGGGAACCCTCCCCACAGCTGAGATATCCCTCCAGAACCTCAACTGCCCATGGGAGCAGGGCCAGCCCTTTTCTCATCGCTACCCTTTCTACAAGTCTAGATGTGGCTTTCTCTGTAAATCCCTGGTTATAAGAATTCTCTCCAGGCCCTCACCAGGTAACTCAGTTGGTTTAAGTGCTGTCCTGATATGCTAAGGTTGCGGGTTTGATCCCTGTTAACGGCAAATACAAGAATCAACCAATGAATGCGTAAATAAGTGGAACAACAAATTGATGTTTATCTTTCTTTCTCCCCCTTCCTCTCTCTCCCTTTCAAACACACACACACACACACACACACACACACACACACACGCACACACACAATCTTTTCAGCTAGTCTACAGTTGGTTATTCAGGATGATTGGTCTATAATTTACTTGTAATTCCAGTTTGGTCCTGGGAAGAGGTGAGTGTTCCGTCCACCTACTTCACCACTATCATGGATCCCCCTTTCTAATTCCTCCTCTCCCTGCTCCCTACTTTCTGATTCTAAATAAATAGCCTCACCTGACAGGCTATACTTAGGTAATCATAGCACAATGCAATTATTGGTTGTTTACCAGATACTTGCCAGTATTTTAGCTGTACCCTTTATTGTGTTTGGCCTTTAAAAGCAAGTGACTATGGAGACTTCTTTGTTGTTGTTGCCTTTCTCCTAGGCAGATGGTATTTATGCCTTTAAAACTTTTTTTTTTGTCTTTCAGGGCATTTCACTGATGAGAGTTATCTCAATACAACTACAAATCTGCCACTAAGAGATTGCCTGAATACAAAACGTTATTAGGAAAATGATTATGACAAGAAAACAATAACAAAGAACCACTTTAGTTAGAAAAAACCACATCATTAGCTAGTCCAAGAAGAAATTATATTCTTCCCTCAGAAATAATTCATCAAAGTCTGTCACCATGAATGAAATTAGATTTCTCTTTTAGCTTCAGTGATTGGCTATTCCTGGAAAAACAGCACACAGAATTGATTGGTACAAAAAAAAATTTTTTTCTCCCAGAAAGAAGAGTTTGTATTTTTTTCCAGTGGCGATATGGGACTTAGAAATCAGATATGCTTCTGCTCACACAACTGCAGTTTCCCCTCCCCCAACACACAGAGACCATCACCATCGACACAAAGTATTAAATATTTTTTATATTATTTGGTTAAAATATAGTCATTGTCTCATTTCTCTCTTTGAGAGCACAGATCTCAGTCAGACTTCAAAGTATATGTTGAAGCAAAAAATAGTAAGAAAAGTCATGCATGAAGGAGTTTTCTTATTTATTTCTTCACTACTTCTTCCTTTCTGTCTATTTTCTTTGCATAACATTTAGTCTCAGCACACTGTTATATGCGTATCCATTCTGAAGGCACATGATAAAGCTTTTAGTATATCTTGCCAAGGGTTATCTTCTCAAAGAGTTTGGTTGACTATGTGATCCTATAGTTCCCTATAGAAGAGTACACAAAACCCTGTACCCACCGGGCTTTCTCTGAAGCAGGCACTGAGGCCACTTTTAGACCTGCCATAGGTGAGGACCAGCTGACTGGACCTCCAGCTCCGGTCTCTCTCTACCCTGCATTCCAGACTGACTGTATTCTCCACAGACTTGCAAATCTGATATCCCTTCAAATTGGTTCTTTTCATATTTTCTAGATTTTTTTTTTAGAGGCAATGGTGTGCAATGAGCACAATGGAAATGAGGATAAAGTGGGTTTGAATCCAAACTCTACATTTATTATTTGATTTGGGGCACATGGTTTTTCCTTCCTGAGGCTCGGGTTTCTCCTTGGTAAAATGTCAACAGAGATTCCTAGAGTGTAGGATTGCAGACATCTGAAGAGGTCACACTTCTAAGTGCATAGACTGATGAATGGGATAACATGGGTGCTAAATAACCATGCATTATCTCTTCCCACTCTCTGTCAGTGAGTGTCACTGTCTACAGTACCAGATTGGACATGTTGTATCAGTTTTCCTCGTTCCCTCTCCCTTACCCTTAATTAAAGCCAATCACCAATTTATGGGATATTAGAACTGGCAAGGACCTTAGAAATCATAGTCATCCGAGTTATTGATCAAATATGGAGACATAAATCACTGATTTTTCTAGCAATTTGACTCTTGTGTCACCTCAATAACAGTAATTATTCAGTGGTGAAGTTTGTGCTTGACAATTGACAATCATATTGAGCAAAAAAGAATCAACCAACTCTAGTTAGTTCAGTGATGATGTGCAAACACAGCTTCAGGCTTACCAGTAAAATTCTATTATCTTAAATGCTCTTTATAATGCAATTTTTTTTCTGGTATAATTTTCTCTGTCTCTCTCTCTTTGCCAATCACTAACATGGGGAGAGGAATCCGTTTCAGCAGAAATTGGAGAAGAAAAGGATCATAGAAGCAAAACAAAGAATAAAATAATTCCAAAGAAAACAACATCAATAAAAACCCTCAATATTAGCTAGTGAATACATTACAATGTTACACATAGCCACGAACTACTTTCACCTCATATTATATATGCCAGAGCATGTGTTCATTTGTGTTCTTCAAAGTGAATTATAGTAGAAAACCCTAAAGGAATCACTCTACTAAGCAAAATAAGAATTAGATATATACATGTAGCTGTTTTTTTTAACACAACTATTCTTCCGTTTATATTCCATGCTTGAATACTCATGCACAACCTAACCTCCTATTTGATACCTTGACCTTGTTCTCCCTTTTATGTTTCATGTACAAGAATAAAATAAATTACCTATAGTTAATGTATTTTATATGTGTTAGGGTGTAAAAACTACTTTTTGTAAGTGTTTATTTTTCTTTAATCTCCATACACACTGAATGTACATATAATCCAGATATACATATAATCCTGATAATAAAACTGGAACTAGATAAGAAAAAAGACAGGCCCTAGATCTAGTGAGATCTTTTTCTTGAAATTTAATATCTGTAAGGGCAGTATGGAAAGTTTCAGAAAGAGCTGACCTTCAAACTTTAACAATTGCTCCCCATTCCAGTGCACTTACCACATTCTATGGGGTATGCAAGTGGGAAAATGGCCAACCACCCCCTAGGATTCCATTAGGTTACCTTGACATGCGAAGACATGTTGTTCAAAAACGAGGACAGTGGCTACCAGGGCTCCAAAGCTATAAAACTTCATCCCAACAGTTCTTTGCAGAAAAACAAATTTCTCTGAAGAAAAGGGCCCTGATAACTGGTTACATAAGAGCCTTCTTTACACACTGGTTAAAATATAATGCTGTTTCCTCCCATTTCTGTAATCAATCAACTTGCATTTCCACTCTCAAAAAGGAAGTATGATGAGAGTTGTTGTTCTTAGTTGAGACTATCTAGAAAATATTTAACTTCTCAGGGAAGATGAGGCCAAGAATAAATGGGTAGTAATGTAGCAGGAACATAAGAACATGTTGGACTTATTGGAGAGCCACAGCCAGCTAGCCTGAGAGTCAACTCTACCCACTAATGTGCCAACAGCAATCAAGGCTCAATTACTACAGGAAGGCACACACAACCCACACAAGGGACCCAGCTCAGATGATCAGGGAGACTGTGCCAATGAGACACACAGGTCGCCTACTACATAAGGCCATCCTGACGAGATTGGGAGATGTAGCAGATCTGTCTAATACATAGAAGCAAATACAGAGGAGACAAAGAAATGTCCTAAATAAAAGAACAGGACAAAACTCCAGAAAAAGTACTAAATAAAAAGAAGGCCAGCAATCTACCTGATAGAGTTCAAAACACTGGTTGTAAGGATGCTGAAGGAACTTAGTGAGAAATTTAACAAAGAGACAGTATATCTGTGGGTAAGAAAAAAAAAAAAAAAAAAAAAAAGACATAAAAACCATAAAAGAACCAGTCATAAATGAAGAATACAATAACTGGAATGAAGAATACACAAGAAGGAATCAATAACAGATTAGATGAAGCAGAGGATAGAATCAGCACTTTAGAAGACCAAATAGTAGATACACCCAGTTGGAACAACAAAAAGAAAAAAAGAATTAAAAATAAATGAGGGGACTTCAAAGGACCTCTGGGACATTATCAAGTACTAGTGGCTGGATGCATGAAAATTTGTGCAAGAGTAGGCCTTCTTTCCCCCGGCTGCTGGCACTGGCTTCCCTCTGGCACCCGGACCTGGGCTTTCCCCCTCCAGTTGTCAGCAGTCACCCGGGACCGGGCTGCTTCCCTCGGCCGCTGGCAGGCACCTGGGACCCAGGCTTCGCTCAGGCCGGCTTCCTCTGGAAGGATGTTCGGTTTAAGTAGCATATTACCTTTCTATTATACCCTATATAATAAGAGAGAGATATGCAAATTAGGCCAGGACTCCGTAATGTCATGACCACTTGGCAGGGGGTGGGGGGAGGGGAGAGTGAGGCCTGCGGCTGGGACGTGAGCCTGTGGTGCCTCCTCTGGAGTCGGAGAGCTAATGACCAATAGGCTCTGGTCCTCCTCCACAGCCCTCTCCAGCAGGCGTGGGGTTGCTGAGACCCAGGCCGGGTCTCTGGCCACAGATCCACAGCTTCCCGGAGACCGACTCTACCAGGCCGCCTGGAGGCAGGAGGCTGGGCTGCAGGGTGCCGGTTCAAGATGTGACACAGAGAGGAGGTGCAGGAGGAAACCCAGAGAATGGGATGTGGGGGTTCAAGATTCACTTCCTTTGGGCTTTGTCCTTCTTGGTCTTGGTCCTTTTCTTTTGGGCCTGGAGCGCAAGCACTGCAGGAGAGAGGGATGGATGAAGGCCGAATGTGGAAGAAAGGAGGTGACCCAGGTGAGGGTGGAGACCTAGCAGGGGCGGGAGACCCGACTGCGGGCTGCCTGAGGGCGACTCCCGGGCTAGCACCACGGCTTTGGCAGGAGGCGGGTGGGCGCAGAGCGAAGCCGCACCGTCCCTCTATGAGGACACCTCACATAGGTGCTGCCTTCACCATCAGGCTCTGGGTGACATCTGCAAATGCGACTGCAACCCCTAACATTCTGGGCAAAGAACTGACCCTGTGCCCCTCTGTGTACCAGGCTTGCTAGGAGTGTACTGTCACCAATGCCACAGATCAAAGGCAAAAACCGGGCGAGGCGGGGTGCCTCGGAGGGGGCTTGGGCTGGAACAGGGGGCCAGTGGAGAGCAAGGTTCTGCAGTGGCCCCAAGACTCCCTTCGTCCTGGCGGGAAACAAGGGGCATGGAAGGACGCCTGGCAGAAGGGCCCGAACCCGCAGCACTGAGGCGGGGGTTGAGGGGCAGAGCCACCTCTGTGGAGGGGTGCTGCACTGCAGTGTACCCGACTGAGTGATTCAGAGAAGCTCCCAGCGCGGTGCTAACCAGGCCTTGCTTGGCGGCCTTCGCACTTCAGAGGCAGCAACTCCTGCTCCCGCCTTGGCCCAAAGGCAAGCCTGCGCCCACCCTGCCCCATGGTGGCGCACGCCTGTGCGGTGAGTGCGAAGCCAACCACCTAATCCGGAGAATGGGGGCCAGTAAAGAATAGGAGCAGGGGGCGGGGGCGAGGAAAGAATGTGGAGCTTGGCGATGAAGAGGTGCTTGAGAACGAGGCTCGGAAGCCTGATGGGGAGGTTTGTTCTGTTTGCCCCACAGCTGCTCCTTAGGAAGAGCAGAGAGCAAGGCTGTGAGGGCTCCCTGCACGCTGAGTCAAGTTCCGCAGCCAACTGGAATTGGCCTCAGTTTCCTGCTCTGTAAAATGAATTAAGTGTGTCCCAGTGCCTTCACTGAGCTTTGCGGGTCAATTGAGATAATATATAAAGAAAATGAGGGAAGAAGTGAGAAAGAAAAGGAAGGATGAGCAACACAAAAGAAAGATTGGAAGGAACCTGTAAACCTATCATCACTTAAATAGGGAATATAGTCAACAGTGTTGTAATGATGGTATGATGCCAGGTGGGTACTGGAAATATCGGGGAACACTTTGTAAAGTATATGATTGTCTAACCACTATTCTGTAACTAATATAAAACCTGAAACCAACACAAAATAATATTGAGTGTAAAGAAATGAAAATAGCAGTGAAATTTTTATAAATTTCAAACTTTAAATAAAGTCTGTAAAGGAAGGAAAGGAGAGAATATAAAATAGTGTTTTTCATTTTACCACTTTATTTTCTTTTCAGTACATGAAAGACAGTTGTCTTTATATGGTGCTTTTATACTTTTCTAAGTCATTATCTCATTTGATATTCAGGAAAACTTAAAAACAAGATAATTATTCCCTTCACTATTCAAAGAAAGGAAATCTTGATGTCTGGCCCAAATGATTCAATCGTCAAGCCCTTATTGTAAAGCAGGATTAGTGAAATTTTCTGCAAAGGGTCATATCTATACTAATAAAAGCCTTGGGAATGATCAGGCCAGCAGGGGAGGGCAGTTGGGGGCAATCAGGCAGGCAGGGGAGCAGTTAGGTGTCAATTAGGCTGGCAGGGGAGTGGCTAGGGGGTGATCAGGTTGGCAAGCAGAAGTGGTTAGGGGCAATCAGGCAGGCAGGCAGGCGAGCAGTTAGGAGCCAGCAGTCCTGGATTGTGAGAGTGATGTCCAACCGCAGGGATCGGGCCTAACCCAGCAGTTGGACATCCACCGAGGGGTCTCAGATTAGAGAGGGTTCAGACCAGGCTGAGGGATATCCCCCATGCACGAATTTTGTGCACTAGGCCACTAGTTATAGATAATAATACTAGAGGCATAGTGCATGGATTCATGCACTGGTGGGGTCCTCAGCCTTGCCTGCACCCTCTTGCAATCCGGGACCCCTCGGGTGATGTTGGACTGCTGGTTTGGGCCTGATCCCTGCAGACCAGGTCAAGGGACCCCACCGGTGCATGAATCCGTGCACCAGGCTTCTAATATGCATATAAGATCTTTGGTTAATCTCTTCTTATCCTCCCCTCCCCACTTCCCTCTAAGATTCATCAGTCTGTTCCATATTTCCATGCCTGTGCATTGAGCATTTGCCCCCTGGTGGTCATTGTGTGTCATAGTTACCAATCCCACGGTCAGACGGTCACTTAGGCTTTTAGATAGATTGTGTGTGTGTGTGTGTGTGTGTGTGTAATTTCAGAGAGGAAGGAAGGGAGAAACATCAATGATGAGGGAGAATTATTGATTGGCTGTTTCCTGCATGCCCCCTACCGGGGATCAAGCCCATAACCAGGGCATTTGCCCTGACCAGGAATCAAACAGTGAGCTCCTAATTCATAGGTCAGTGCTCA